AGCATCATTTTTAGTTTCTTTCAGCTTTCCTTCTCNGATGAATTATTTAGTATTTCCCGTTTGAAAAAAAAAACAAAACAAAAATAACACTCACTCGACATTCATAAACAATAAAAATCAATCAAATTATAACAGCAACAAGAATAATTTGATTATTAACCCTCCAGCTCCCTCTTTCAACAAAAAAAAATTCTCAAATTGAAAAAAACGGGTTATCATTCAAAATGTCCAGAAATTATTCTTTTTTTTTCGTCCAGAAATAATTGACGTCATCAACAAAACAAAGGTAACAATGTTGATCATTTCTGATGATTAAAAAAAAAGTTACAAGCAAGCAACAACAGCAAATTTCACTTTCCAAATGTATAATTTTCGGTCGATTTTCAATTTTCCATTCTTTTTTTTCAATTCATACAAACGACAACAACAACAACACATGTCCAAAAACACAAAAGAAAGAAAATAACATGAATGACGAAAACTCGAAAAGAAGAAGAAAAAAAATGAAAATAATTATCACTAATGAAAACAACAAGGGAAAAAAAAGATAAAGCAAAAAGCTTTGACGATATATTCAATCCAATATATTCATCATTATGTTTTTGTATAGTTTTTTTTCTTCGAAATGAATTAATCATACTTGTTATCGACAACTACTGTATTTAGAATGAAAGAAAGAAAAAATGTTTTATGAAAAGATTTTCTCTCTTCTTGTTTTGTTTTTGTTTTGCGGTCTGATTAACAACACACAGAAACACAGTAAAACTCTGTGTGTGTGTTGAGGATATAATGAATTTGAATCCATTCAATTCGTAAATTTGTAACAATAAAAAAAATGACCACACACACACAGAACGAAAAAAAAATCCATAAATGATACATTTATTTGTTTGAAAATTGGGATATCTTTTGATTTCTTTTTTGGCTTTTTCATATGGTCACCGAACAAAAACAGAATCCTTTTTTTGTTCTCTATGGTTATATATTTCTTTTGTTCAACCAAACAACCAAAAAGAAAAAGAATCTTTTCAAAACATTCATAAAAATGATTTTTTTTTGTTTGTTTGTCCC